TAGACCCTAGAACTTCAGCTCGGAAACACGGAAAGTACTGTATGTGCTTTTTTGAAAAGATTAGGCTCGAAATTATTGGAATAATTTAGTGTGTTGGGAGAACAAGTTCTTTCTTTAATCATACTATAACTGCTAACAATGTTCCCGTTGGAAAAAAATGAGGAAATGACTGACTTTCACATAAATTCTGAGTGAGATCCGTTTGCTTATTTTGGAATATCAACATTGATTTGTGTTCTCCTCCGCGAGAACATCGAAATCATGTATTCACTTGTCAAAAATGAAGTTCGGATGAATGAAAAATTGGAGTTCAAAATGGACCATTGAAATATGATTTATGTTGGAGGGAAAACTAAATTTGAGTTTTTCCCACGTAGGAAGTCTATGAAATCAAGAACCACTTTATATATGGCTACATTTTGGAAGTGTGTAATCATGTGTAGCATAGAGGCTCTCTTCACGTGCACGCATAGGGGGTGCAAATTACGGATCGAAATAAGCTTCAAACCTTGATCTTGTGTGTAAACGCGACCTGCGTACACGAATGTCGGACCGAATTGACCAAAAATTGGCTCCTTACGAGAGTCTACGTTTTGCCAATTTTTTTTGCTCTCAATAACTTTGACTTTTGATTTCTGAAATTGCTAAAACTCCAATATTATTGCCATTAGTTTGAAACTATTGAAATTCCAATGATTATTGTCATTGAGTTAATGGACAGATTTAACTTGTCATTATTTGGGTTAAGTCTATATAAAGCCTCAGTTTCCCATCGTTCCAGACATGAAGAATACAGTCTATATTATAGTTCCAAAACACCCGAAATTGTCCTCTCTCTGCATACATAATTTACTTTCTGTCAAGGTTTTGGTGGTAATATTGTTCAAATATTAAGTCAATTCGTCGGAGTAGAATCTGCAGCGCTCGGACTCTACTGGTTTACTGTTGTATACTATGAAACAAACGCTCAAATTAAATCTCAAGTACATACAGTGAGGAGACGAATCTGTTTTAAGAAAAATGTGCTCACACAAGCCTCGATTTTTTTAATTCAATTGAATTTTATTCTGTTATTTAGATTATTTGTTCTATTTTAATATGATATATATTAATTATTATTCGGTAAGTTATTGTCTACACGGTAAACTGTATATCTGGTATATTAGTTGCATATACGGTATGTTGATTGCATAACCGGTAGGTTGCATATCCGATAAGTTGCATATACGGTATGCTGATTGCATATCCGATAAGTTGCATATCCAGTTTGTGTTGTAAATCCGATATTTGTTCGCGATTATATTTTCAAACGGTTCCAAATGTCAGTGTTGATGTTAAGGCTTATCAGCGTTAAGTTAGACATTTATACGTGTATCATGCCTTCGTTATATTCTTATCATATAAATGGTTTATTAGGGCGCCGAATCGTTGCAAGAGCGGTGTGAAAAAAAACTCGTATTCTCTTTCTCCGATGTAGTGTAAACGTGTCAAGTGGGTGTACCTCACATTAAGGGCGAACCACTATGTTTTGCTTGTTTTCTAATGGACAGATTTAACTTGTCATTATTTGGGTTAAGTCTATATAAAGCCTCAGTTTCCCACCGTTCCAGACATGAAGAATACAGTCTATATTATAATTCCAAAACATACGAAATTGTCCTCTGTCTGCATACATAATTTACTGTCTATCAAGGTTTTGGTAGTAATATTGTTCAAATATTAAGTCAATTCGTCGGAGTAGAATCTGCAGCGCTCGGACTCTACTGGTTTACCGTTGTATACTGTGAAACAAACGTTCAAATTAAATCTCAAACACCTACGGTGAGGAGACGAATCTGTTTTAAGAAAAATGTGCTCACACAGGCCTTGATTTTTTTAATTCAATTGGATTTTATTCTCTGTTATTTAGATTATTTGTTCTATTTTAATCTGCTATATATTAATTATTATTCGGTAAGTTATTGTCTACACGGTAAACTGCATATCTAGTATATTAGTTGCATATACGGTATGTTGGTTGCATAACCGGTAGGTTGCATATCCGATAAGTTGCATATACGGTATGCTGGTTGCATATCCGGTATGTGTTGTAAATTCGATATTTGTTCGCGATTATATTTTCTAACGATTCCAAATGTTGGTGTTGATGTTAAGGTTTATTAGCGTTAAGTTAGACATTTATACGTGTAGCATGCCTTCGTTATATTCTTATCATATAAATGGTTTATTAGGGCACCGAATCGTTGCAAGAGCGGTGTGAAAAAAAAACTCGTATTCTCTTTCTCCGATATAGTGTAAACGTGTCAAGTGGGCGTACCTCACATTAAGGGTGAACCACTATGTTTTGCTTGTTTTCTAAATATCATTGCTCTCGAATATGATTTGTATTGTGTAGGCTTGGCATTTGGAGGCTTTCACCCTAGCATTCGCTCATCGTTCAATGGCCAATCTTTATGCCTATCGCGTTCGAGTTTGCCAAGACAAACTCGAACTCGAAGAACGCCTAGACTGAGCATAATGATGATAAAACCAGCAATTCAGTTCATTCAAGGAACTGATGAACAGACGGTCCCAGATGTGAGGCTTACGAAATCAAGGGATGGTACTAATGGTATGGCGATATTCAAGTTCGACCAACCCTCAGTTTTTGACTCGTCTAGTGAAGTAGGTGATATTACTGGATTCTACATGATTGACGAGGAAGGAGTTCTTCAGTCAGTTGATGTTAGTGCAAAGTTCGTGAATGGGAAACCTGCAGGAATAGAAGCCAAATACGTCATGCGAACTCCACGAGACTGGGATCGGTTCATGAGATTTATGGAACGTTACGCGAACCAGAATGGCTTATCGTTCGTCAAGAAATGAGGCAATTTCATATCTTTTTAGTTCTACATTTTTGGGTCAATGGCTAAGTTTTCTGATGCAATTCATGGCGCTGTAACTAGGTGTGAAATACAGTGTAAACTTGAGAAATTGGGAGTCAAGGCAAATCTAACCTGATATATTATCTCGTTATATGAAGAATCTGGCATTTTCACTTTGAACCCTGATGATTTTTTATCAATTGTTTGATGGACATGTCACTGAATATCGTTTCCATTCCATCAAAATAGTTACGGTATAGATGTCTCTGACCTTCTACTCCGACTCTTGCACTCATATCTGTCATTCAAAAGAGTAAATGGAATGCGGGTTCAAACATAAGCGTAGTTATCAAACTCATACCACTCGGGAGTAGTTTGGAGAGCATCCCGACTAGAAGGTTTTGGTTCTTACTGTCGAATTCTCATTGTATCTCGTTTGAAACATCAAAAAATTTACAAATTGAATAGTATTAAGACTTGAAGGTACATCTTAAAAGGTCAAAATGCTCTTTGAACTTTAGATAAATTGAATTACTTCGTTGGAATTTAAAAGACTCAGATGTAAGATTTAAACTTTCATCTTAAAAAATCAATCCCAACCTTTTTCGTAACATCTATAATTTCAAAACATTCGTCGTCCATAAAATATCCCGTTTCTTTTTTTAATTGATTCGCAAGGGGTAAATCTCCCGAGGTAGCACCGTTGAATTCAATTGTCGATATATAATCTGTTGAGGTTAAATTACATAAACAAAATTATTTTTGAGAGAAACAAATTCAATCAGATCATCAAGCTCACAATCCAAACAGAAGAAGATAATTAAGGAGAAAGAAAAATAGATGAAAAACTGAGGTTGTCAGTCAAATAAATAAAAATAACATGGCAAGTACAATAAAGGCAAATAACGACATCAAACAAAGGTAAGTAACAAAATCGCTTTCCTTCTTTTTGCTTACTAGTTGAAAGCCACGGTCCATTTTCACATCTTTCAGAGAGAAATTCACACCGGGATCTCCCATTTTTACACCGCTACCTATCAAGATCGAGTTGTTAATACCCATCGTATCGTTGTTTATATAAATGTTTATGCTGCAACAACCTTGTGGCGATTCACCAGAGCAGCCCCCACGCCGAGTGATCATAGTCGCCCCAACATTAGTCCCTTCCAATTTGACATTTTCGAAGGATCCACGGCTGATTTGTGGTGGCATTTGGTGGCTGATGGATTTTGGTAAACGAAATCTATGAGTATTTCTCATGTGGTGTCAGTGGGAGAAGTTTTTCATGACTGGTCTTTCTTTTCCCCTATTGGGAGGGTAATTCCTTTATAGAATGAGCTGCAATTACTTTTCCCCAGCTACAAGGAAAGCCAATGTTCCTTTGGAATGACTTAATAATCACTCAATCAACCTTATTGATGTCTCTCCCCCCACGTTCACTAAAACTAGTTGCATTAGCATGTAGTAATGAACAAAACAGATAGCGAAAAAAGATTCATGTAGTCGACTCGAAATTTTTGGAACCCTTTCTCATTTCATTCTCTTGTATGTATTCATTCAGTGAAAAACATGAGCCAATGGATCGAAGAAGGGCCACAAATGAGCATGGTAGAAAACAATCATTTAAAGAAAAACATCATTTCATTTGAATTACACTCTGGCTCAAAAACCATCCAAAAATAATCATCAGCCTATTTTCTAGAATAACTTGCGAATATTGGAATCGCTCGTATCTTTATAGTTTATACTTCTAAGCACGTCTCTTGAAAATGGACAATCTCGAACTTGTTTAAACAGCTGAATTTATTAGCTTTTATGGACTACAATGTCAGTCGATTTTTCGATTCTTCATCAGAAAAGATACGAGGTAGCAAGCAATTTCACAGCTGAAGGAAATGAAGGCAACACGTACCGACTCCAAAGGTTTGAGAAGGATAGCTTAAGTTTGCAAATTAAAGAATTGACGAACATCAAGACCATGACTGCGGGGTTACTTTTTCACTAACTGTAGAACCATACTGTGGACCACCTTTACGATATTGTATAAGAAACTCAACTGGATATCCCTTCAGTTTATGTGGCGCAATCCCAAGATCCTCAAATTGTAAAGCTGCATAACCAGAAAAAAATTGGTTGGAATGTATAATAGTGAAATTTGTATAGGAAAATCAGAGGGGTGTTACAGGTTAGTAAAACCAATCGAGAAGCAAACATAATTCTTAAATCTGACACACCATTTTCTGACACCAGAGTATCAGTGGCAAGGGCTTCAATCAGGTCCAGATTGAAGATGGTCGGGGTAGGCATTGGGACGGGAACTTTCTTAAGCAATATTTCTCGAGGCATTGCAATAGCCTGAAACCAGACATGTAGAAATTGTCAGATAACAATCATACAGGGAAACCTGCAACTGCAAGGATGCACCAGGTAAGCCTTATTTTTTCGTCATCTCATAAATATAACACAATAGACATTTCAAGAAACAGGCTCGTACGAAATATTAAGGAAAAAGTTCTCATTTAGCCCCCATTTGATTTTGCTGAAATAAGATTTTTAGTAGATTTTGATAAGAGTTGATGAAATGTGTGATTAAAAGGTTAACAAAAGTTGTGGTCCCATGAAATGTGATTAAATTAATTGCTTAACTTTGACTTAGATAGTTATCAATATTTTTAGCTAAACCAAACAGGGCTTAATATTTTTAATATTTCTTTAAGTCCCATAGCCTTTACTAAACAACTTTACCCATTTTCTCATTGAATAAATGAGTGAAACAGGCAAATTGATTTTCTCCCAAATTACCATGTGAATTCTTCAGATGAATTGAGCAGTAATTTGCAAAGCTTATCCAGAATGGATTAACAGTTTCATTATTTCCGATTGTGCGGGGCGAGAAAAAAAAATTAGGGCAAATGTAGCTCTCCAAAGGGCTAGGCCTAGAGCATGAGAAGAAGCCACTAACACAATTTTATATGGAGATTGAACTTCGAAATGGAACTTTTCTTAGACTGCACCTGAAGCCACTAGCACTTATCGTGAAGTTAAACCTATGCTGCAGTTATTTAAGAACTCAATGATGTAATTTATTGGAGAACCCCCTTCATTAACCAATTCATGTCTAAACTTTTACAAAATCAATGATTTTCTTTAAAAAGGTTAACTAAATTTTGACCAAATTATTTACAAGCATTTCTCTTGGACACTTGTTACAGTCCATGTCTTCTTATATAAACTAACAGGATTGTCAATTAAGAAACTTGTTATCTTGTGCACCGTCAATCTGAGGCTGGTATATCACAAAAAACTTGTGCCACATAAGAAAAAAGCAAACAAGATGCTAATAACACGAGCCAAAAATGAAAATAATACTTAATAGGCAGTTCCAGATAAAGAGCTTAGCTAAAACCATGTGAAGATATACTGCATAGGGATGCACTTGTAAATGAACTTACCTTAGCAATGGGAAAGGGAATCTTCACGTACCGAGGCCATTCACGGATCACGTCATACATAAGGTCTGCCTACACCACAATTCAAATTCAACTAACGACTGCAACTTTAAAGGAAAACAATCAAAATAGCATGGTTGGCGGGGATCAGAAAGGGGAAGAGAGAGAGAGAGAGACCAACTCATGGACAGTGAAAATATCTGGTCCACCAAGTTCATAAACTTTTCCCATGCTGGTACCATCATCCTTTAAGGCAGCGACAATTGCAGAAGCAACATCAACAACATATACTGGCTGAATCCTGCAAGAGATAATCATCATAAACACACTCAACAGAGATAAAATAGTGTACCACGTTGCGTGGAGTCCTACTTGGTAGATCCATCTCCTATAAGTGGGAGAAAGCTGTAATTTTTTGCAAAATGCGCCCACGGATTTAAAATTCGATCCTCTGTGCCAACCATCACGGCTGGCTTCATAACTGTGGCCTAGAGATTGATATAAGATGATAGAAAGATTAATCAGTCAATCATGAGATATTTAACACGTACCAAAAAAATATAAACTGCATCAAATCTATAACCATATACGTTACCAAAAAAGTTATACAAACAGTAACACTTGATAAGGTTTTGGTCAACCACATCGACATGAATAATAAACAGTAAACAAAGACTGTACAATAAAAAGAACTGTATCCTTAAAGTTCATAAAAAATAGCATGATTATGGAAAATTGAGGAGAGAACTGAGAAATAAATTAGAAGAATTGCCATGCAAAACTTGAAAAGGCATCCAACAGAGACCAGATGTTTCTTTGTTCACTAGGAAGCCATTTTGCACTTTTAAAAGCCTTTGTGAGGCGAAAGCCTCAGTAAAACATGGCATAAGCCCAACAAATAGCTTTAAAAATGCGGGTTTTAAGGCATTTTATGATAATCTCACATGAGGCTGGATTCGAGGTGTAAGCCTCAAATAGTGTTTTTAAACCATGCATTAGAGTTGACTGGAGAGTGTGTTAAATTCAATTGTCCCCACAGATTAGTATTTAATCTAATCTAAGTCAAACCAAAAAAAAAAAAAATGGAAAGAGAGAACGAAATAGAAACCTAAATTGCTATCAGGCACAAACAGAGAAATATAATTCATGATAAAGATTTATAAGCAGCATCAATAGTTGCTCAATGACAAGGAAAGTGGGTCATACAACACGCAAATAAAAAAGGATGATAATATACCTCGGGCAGCTCTCCTAAAACAGCTTCTTCAGCAGCTGCTTTAGACTTGAGATATCTGGATGAAGATGATAGAGAAGCCCCCAAGCAAGAAACTTGAATAAATCTCATGATGCCGCCGTGTTCTTTAGCAATCTGCAAAAGTCTATAGCTATATAATCTCATACTCATCACTGTGAGAGAGAGAGAGAGAGAGAAACTAGGTAGATAATTTTAAAAAAGTGGATGAAACAGATTGCTTATCGTAAGCATCCATTTCTCATTGGAAAACCGATGTCAAATAATAACAAAAAAACATCATAAATGCCTTTCATATAAAGATTCTCTCCCTCGGTTGAGCAGCCAACCAGGGCATAAATGTCACTTTCCCTTCCCTCAAATTCATCAAAATTTGTTTTCTGTTACATGGAAAGGTACACGTGAATCATAAGCATGGGCACCCCAGTGAAAGAAGGTTCCTAACAGGAGTCCTATTTTTTTTTTTATAACCATGGATGTTCGGACCAACTTGCGCGCACCTCGACTAATCCCACGAGGGCCCTAAGGTTTACAGCCGGATAGTCACCTCAGTGGCTTTGAGGGGACTCGAACTGGTGACCATTGGGGAGCAATCCTCAAGTTTGAAAATAATATAGTCCTATAAAAGAATAGTTATTAATGAACTGCTCCAAAGAGATGCTTCCATGCCAATTTAAATTTTGATGCACAAGAGCATGTATAAGTCCATGCACATGTGAACAAACAAAGGGAGGAAATATCACTTTTGAAAATGATCGATCATTACAAAACTAAGAAATACAAGTTATCCAGGCGACCAATCAATCAAGTTAAGTGTAAACAAATTCACAAAAAGTGCATAATTACCAGTAAAAAAGTTGATGCAATTTCACCTAGGGAACGAACGACTTAAAATATTTAATAACGAGTTCTTCAGTCCCATGTGCCCCGTAGGCATCTGCTTTTCTCATGGAGCCCATCTTCTCAATGGGCTCATCTCTCTTGTAGGTTATTCATTGTGCCAAAGTGAGAAGAATAGTAAAATCACACATAAAGACCAATTTGACAGAGAGAAAAAAATGTAAAAGATAACACTAACATACCTGAGAGTGATAGGAATGTGCAATATCGCTCAACGAAGTATGACTCATAACCAAGAAAATAAGAAAGAAAAGAATCACTAGACACTAAGAAAATGGACACCGGTCAATGATCTGTGTCCTACGATTTCTTCACCTTATTAGGATCCCATTCCGTTTCCCAGTTTTCACATTGCTTAGAATAATCAACATTACATAAGTGCGTCCACCAGTAAAATATAATGTCAGGAAAGTTGAAACTCATTACCAACTTTTTTATAGGATAAGTACGGGAATATACCATTGCAAGCTGTTCAGCCATGTGATGATTGACTTCCTCAAAGCTATAATTTCTGGTCTCATATTCCCTTCCTGTTCGCAGGACTTCATAAGTAATGCAATTCCAATGCAAGATTTTTCCTACTGCCCAAAGGTAATGAGGAACATGTACCAATAAGATTAATGACAACATTAGCCTTTGCCATCGCTGCCTTGATAGAATTTTCATCTCTAGGGTCGTATTTCATTGGAACAATCTGCATATAGATAATTGTATAACTTATACCAAATCACATGCCTTCCAAATTGAGCAAAATCAAAACTTCAATTAAAAGCATAAAGTCTAGATAAGAATTTACCTGACCCAAATCACCCATTAATTTGAGGTGTCGGTGAGAATCCTCAGATCCTCGGAAAGGAACTAATACTTGAGAACCCATTTTAGCTGCAGAGAGAACAAGATAGCATATATGGATCATATCACAAGAATATTCAATTCTATAATAAAATTAGTCCTTTTGCACAATGTATTTAATCACAAAGCATTGAATGGGGTTAACAAGTAATGTACCAAGCTGCTGCACAAGATAACGCCCAAGAAATCCAGTAGCCCCAAACACTGTCGCAACAATTCCACTGCCAGACAAGCAAATTCCAATTTCACCTCAAAGCATTTGAATCAAATGTTATCTGGGATTATAATTATTTAAATAGTTAATAGCATAAGATGACAACGCATTTCTTAAACAGTATTCTTATAAACTGAAACCCCAAAAAATGCTTCGATTGAGGAATTTAAAAATGCACAGTAATTATCTTATCACAGAAATTAAAAAAGTCTAACTAGAGTTCCAGTAAAATAAACATCACAGCTGCACAAGCTTGACCTAATGATCCAAATGGAAAAAAAAAACAATGCAGTAACATTAAACTTTAAAGGTTAATTTACAACCGATAAAACAATAAAAACTAAGGCTTCTAAACTAAAAATAACCTAACAGACGATCTTCCACCAGTGCCCTTACGAACTAGATGTCCCACCCCTTCGGCGGTAAGCGTAGATTGGTACCTCTGATTCTCAAGTCCATAATCTGAAACCCATAAAATTTTCACTTTACATCACCGCTAACAAATACTCATCTTTTAATAGTATCCGAATTGACAAAAAAATGGCGAGAAATCTATATCCCTAGAAATGCTGAGAAAACACATACACCGATCAGAAAGAAAGTAAATGGAAGAAATCGAAGATGATTGCTTGATGTATTGGTGTCCTAGTCTTCTCGAAACGGCCTGCATCTTGCTTTTCCAGCTAAGACTTCGACTGGCTGGACAAGGGGAAGAATTGATTGTAAAACGAGTTTGCACTGTTAGATAGCTACGAATTAATACACAGTACGAGACATGTAATGTACGCGAATGTCTCTCTACATTTATAAAAAAAATTTATCTCGTGAATGTCAAAATAGTCCATAATATTCTAGCAGAACCCCTTGAAAATGAATAATTTAATTTAATCCAAGAAAAAAGGTAGATAGTAATATAGCCCCCGTTTGGTCCACATTATTTGATGTTATAACATTTGGAATAATATTTTTTTGGAGAATGTATGATTGAAAAAGAATGAAAAATTTTTGATTTATGTGTAATATTATTTTATTAAAGAATGTGTGGTTAAAAAAAAGAGAGAAAAATGTATTATAAATTAATGGGAGCCAAACATGGGCATAATTTTTCAACTGTTAATAAAGCTAGCTCAAGGTCGGTGGGCAAGTGAGCTTATATCGCCTTTGTTGATCATCATCTTATCAATATCGTGCACACTTCACTCGATTATATGACTTGTAGCATGACTGGAAGTGCTTCATAATGAGTAGGTAATGCGTCGTGGATCTTACGAAATATGTAAATAAAAAGTACGTTGTCCAGATTTAAAAAATAAAAACATGAGCTCAATATCAATGCAGAAAACTGAGTGGTCTTATTTTCAATTCAAGCCAAGTCCTACATTCTTGAAAAGACAACTAAAGGATGAAACAAAATTCAAAACCTAGTCTCTGGGAACAAACTAGTGTTCTCTAAACATAAACTCAAAATTTCTTCTGCACTGCAAAAAAAAAAATCCTAGTTTATTGCACATGTAAAATACAATTGCCTCCCCATTTGTTCAGCCAGCTCTTCTTACCAAAATTTTTTCTATGGTACAGAATGTGCAGTGAGTGAATTCCCCATTGTGCCTAAGAAGGGGAAGAATTTATTTATCTTGACCCGAGCTTAAACTATTTCCCACCCGCGACTTTCAGTTTTATCTACCAGAAATATTTCTTCAATCTGCTAGATGCAGACCAGTTCATTTTCCAGGATGATGTCGGATCATTTTGCCTTCTTGACCAGATCCCATGCACGATGTTGAATCAAAAATCTGGTATTCCACTTGACCTCGAGGAGTACTCTATTACTAGCTTAAGAAACATGGAAGATTTGTCCTCTAATAATCTTGCTGGAGTGTCAAACTCTGCAACTCGACCTGCAAAACAGACAAACATACAGGCAAGTTAAACATTCTTCCCGTGCACATTAGAGCAACTCCATTTTAATATCAAGTTTGAATGACCCTGAAAAGTAGGGAAGAAAGGAGAAACAGATTCCTAAAGAAAGACTTCCGAGAGTAAAACCAAGCAAATCGTTGCACAATTCAAACCATAATAAGGTCTATTTTGTCCACAGTAGTCCTGGCACATAAATATTAGATATAGAGGAGAAATAGGAAAGGTACAGAACTCACCATCACTAAGGACCAGAACCAGATCGCTATCAATAACAGTAGGAATGCGATGAGCAATCGTACAAACAGTGCAATCCTTAAATTCTGTCCTAATAATCTTTTGGATAAGGTTATCTGTGGCCGAATCAACTGAGGCCGTAGCTTCATCAAGCACCAAAATTCTTGCCTGCTTAAGTAAAGCCCGACCAAGAGATACTAGCTGCCGCTGGCCCACACTCCAATTATCTCCATTTTCAAGCACTGCCGACAACACAAAATTGAGGAAAATCCCCATCAGTCATCGAAATACTGTGAAGGTGGCTTCCTTGCCACGAAAAAGCAATATTTTAGTCCGTCGGTGTAACATACTACCTGGTGTATCAAGTTTTTGCTCTTTTTGGCGAACTATCTCACCCAGCTGAGACTTATCAAGTGCCTGTGCCAATTCGTTAATGGTAAGTTATGTTAGAAACAGATATGAACAGAGTCACAGACAAAAGTATTTAAATGACCGTTCGTCATCCAAATACACCATATATAAATGGACAAAAAAGAGAAGCTAATGGCTATCAATTAAGAATGGTTCAAACAAGCTTTGGATGTTCACAATGTTTTTCTAATTTTATGTGTAAAAAAATTTCATGAAATCTGTGGTAATCCAAATTGACATAGAAAGAAAGAGGCAAAACGGCTGAACCTGCCAAATTTCTTGATCTGAATGCTCTTCGAGTGGGTCTAGGTTTCCTCTAATCGTTCCTTCAAACAATGATGGATCTTGAGGTATGATACTCAACCGACTGCGAAGATCATGAAGGCCCATCATTGAGATATCAATGTTGTCTATAATTATTCTGCCACCAACTGGTTCAATCAATCGAAACAGAGCTTGAATTAAAGTGGATTTACCACTACCAGTACGCCCAACAATTCCTATTTTCTTCCCACCAGGGAAAGTGCAGGATACGCCGTGGAGCACAACAGGAAGGCTTTCCTTGTAACGAACCTGCAAAGGGGAAAATATTGATAAGATATCTTAATTCTTTATATCTTCCTTTGTCCCCAGGGAAAGCGCTGGATATGGCAGAGATCACAGCAGGAAGCTTTCCTCGTAATGAACCAACAACAGGAAAAATAAAGAGATAAAATTTCCTTAATTTCTGTATGCCTTTGGTGACTGCTGCGCCAGACAGTTACAGTATGCACGTGGTGACTGCTGAGAGAGAGATTAAGAAATAGGAAAACGGAATCAGGGATTCAGATAGGGGTAACTTTTTTTTATCTTAAAATAATACGGGGACAATGTTCTCCGTCCTCAACCAGGGGCAAATTTCTTTGCCCTGCCCCCATCCCGCCAACCCAATTAAGCGGGGAATCCGTGCCCCCCCGATCCCCACAGGGATAGGGTTGGTCGGGTTTTTTTGCCAGCCCTAGGGTGGGTGGGGGATGATGGTGTCCGGTGTATTGACATATGTTAGCTGGTTCACAAATTACTTCAATAAGCCTAAACTTCAGTTGAGACATCATTTGTATGGCCATAGCCTTTACTCAATCAAACAGGTAGGCTTCTGTTGTATTTGTCCAATTCCTACATACTTGAACGACTATGTTTCAGATAAATGCAAGTAATTTTAATGCAGTGGTCAATTAGTATGCAACCTTGGGATGTTCAATCTGAATCAAATCCCAGATCATCAAATTTAGAGTGAGATAAAAATCACCACTAGTTGCGCAAGTACTTAAAGCTAAATGGAGCACTATGACGTCTTTTGAGCCATAACTTGGCAGCATAGGTTTATGACATCATTTTTCAAGTCAGCTCGTGAACATAGCTTTAGGACATATGTATTTCCTTGTCCTGTGGTGTTCCCCAAGTTCTGTTTATTATTGTTCTTTTCTTTCTTCTTTGTCCTTCAACTTATTTTTGAGAACTTCAATTTCTGACCATTAGATAAAGTAAGGCATTCAATGTTGACAATGGACCCAATTAATGTAAATATACGCTGCTTCTTATGTCAACATATATACCTGGATAGGAATAAGAGGCAATTTTGCTTCTTATATATGGATGGAATAGAGGGAAAGTTTTTCTGACTAATGAAAAGAACACAAGGTAATAATAATTCAAATATCATACCTTCAAATCAATTAGTTCAATTGTTCCATTTTCTGGCCAAGATGATGGGGGACGAAAATCTTCAATAACTGCTGGAGCTTCACCAGGTATATGGCAGTATTGATGAATCCTTTCTATGGAGATAATTTTGTTCTCGAGTTTGCAAAAGCTAAGAATCCATCGGGATAGACGTGCATTCATATTCAGACCATATGTCACAGCAAGTCCTGCCATACCTATAGAGAAAAACTTTTAATTATAATCAGAAATATAATAAAGACTTGCACAGTGATTGCAAATGGTGACTTATTGCTCTATATCTTCATTAACAAATGGTTTTCATCATTAAATTGAACAAATATTTCCATAACAGTATTATAGGCCACAGCTGAGAATTGGAATACCAGAACATTTAATTTCAGAATTGCAAATGCAACACAATGAAATTAACTCGGTCTTGGCAAGAATATTTAACGAACGTGCATTTGACATTGAAGGGGAATAGCAATGTACTTACTTGGATCTATACTCCCATGTGGGAAGCTCACAAGTAAAACCATGCAAAAAGCAAATACAAATGTCGAGAGCAGTTCCATACGCAGGCAGAGCCATTCAATAGCTGCAAGGCTGCAGAAGAAAGGCCGAGCAAAGCAATCAAGAAGATAGATATTCCTCTTCATGAATCTCTTTTCTTGTCCAAAACCTCTTATTGTAGCTGCCCCAGCAATTGACTCGGCAAAAAGATGAATTATCGGAGATTTTTGGATACTAACAATGCGAACGAGTTCCCTTGACGAAGCCATATAGTATTTCTGCATTTGTATGGGTTAAAATGATATTCATTTGATCAAAATTTAACATTTTGCAAAGATATTTGATCACCATAAATCTAAATAAACAGATGCAAATCACGAGGTGATAACTTGCTCATCCAGATCTCTTTTGATACTCGAGTTCATGTTAGAAGATGATTTTCCCAATAAACAACAGGTTAACTATGCACACAACATCATATCTAACAGCTTGCAAGCAAGCACGTGCACTCACACACACTTAATACCATCAAATAACAAATTGACAAAGGGACAAATTAATCCTTTGAATTTACAGCATTCTACTATTGCTACCTGCATCCACAAGCAGGCAATTGCCATTGGAACAATGAGGAGCAAAATTTGCCAGGTAACTTTTGTCATTACACCAACAATACCAACGAGCTGGATTGTTGTTGAAGCAAAGCCACCAAGTCTGAATGGAATATCAAGATCAACAACACTTTGGTCAATCGACACCTGTAGATAATAAGAAATCCTCATAATGGTGAAATAGAACTGGAGAGTGAAAATGGAAGAGAAGGAAAAAAGGTTGAAAATATCAACTGTAAGTGCCAAAGGTATATAAATACAATTTTAGAATTGATAACATTTGAACATACACGATTTAGTATTCGTCCAGCTGGGGTAGAGTCAAAGAAAGACATTGGTGCCCGAAAGACTGTTCTGAGCATTTTCAAGAACAACTTCTGTGCTGCTGCAAGACCAAATGTAGCAACCAGAACTGCCCTGACAAATATGAACCAGGAGCTCCCAAAAGCAAGTGCCATATATACACCAATAAGCACCACACTACTGGTTTTTGGCTTGTCCCCGGCGGTTTGCGGATTAGCCCAAGCCATCCACCAATTACTGGCTATTTGAAGGACCTGAAATAGTGTTTGTGCAATAATAATAAGCGGAATCAACATCCCTTTGTATGCAGCTGCCATATATGATAAATACACTTTCATGCTGACACTTCCTCGTTCCCGTTCCTCTTCCTGCACGAGTTGCTTTCTCCTAGAACGTTTGGCTTTCTTTTTCTCCTTCATTGCTTTCTTGTCTGAAATTGAAGCGCTTTCTTTGACTTCCTTTGCCATGCCATCCATATTATTAGCAACTGAATCCCACTTTTTACTCATGATAATAGACCTCTCAAGAGGATTATTTTCATCTGATTCTTCAGAAGCTTGGTTGGAAATATCCATAGCCTCAATCGCTTCACGATGAGCACAGACCAATGTGTTAAAATCAGTCCCCGCTTGCAAAAGATCATCATATTTTCCAGCCTGAATAATACGACCTTCCTTCAAAACCTACAATGATGCTGAAAATTAGACAAGAATCATAATTAAACTACACTTGGTATCTGTGCTCTACGACCCTTTTTTTTCTTTTTTTCCGTTGGGGGGGTGGGGTCGGTGGTTTGGGGGTTAATGGGAGTTCAGGTTGTAGAATATGAACTAGGTTCTGAAATTGTCTGTAATCTGAGGGAGAGGGAGAGGCGCAGAGAGAGAGAGAGAGAGAGAGAGATTAAATATGCAGAGGAAAATGCCACTTGAAGTCAAAAACTCAACCAGAGGAGCTTTGAAGAAAGTAGAGGGAAAGAACCGCGCAAAGTCATAAGCCGGTAGATGAGATGGCAGGGCTATGCTCTGAGGCCTGGATGCCTAGGGGGTTAGGGCTAGGGTTTATCTACTCAGACCAGCAAATCAGAGATTCACAAATCACATTGTAAATATAAACAACTGAAGAAGTATCAATTTGACATGACACTAATATACATCCGATCGAAGTTGAAAAAAATCTGTCTAGGATTTCGATCTTTCCCTTTCTGCTAAGTATTTTATCCAGAAACTTGATCATACTCTCAGTGCCTAAATAACTGCCGTCTATTGTCATGCAGTTAACATTTGAGGAAGGAATGAAAACAACTCAAGTACTGTTACTACGCGGGACTTGCTTAAATGTTTACCAGAAGGTCCAAAACTGAGGGTAGAAAACTAAGAAGAAGTCTGGAGGGAAGTATTTAGACACGACATAATAAACAGAAATAAATACCAAAATCAAATCAGCAGCAGGCAGAAATTCAACTTGATGCGTTACGAATACCACAGTCTTTGTCGCTAGGGCTGTCAGTATGTATTCCTGTAATTACACACGATACTTTTAGCCTGACGCCATTTTTTTGAGCAGCAAAAGAAATGATTCAACCTATGTCCAAACCTTAAATAATTCTGAACCAGTGTGAGCGTCTACGGCACTGAATGGATCATCAAGTAAATAGATGTCTGCGTCTTGATATAGTGCTCTGGCAAGTTGCACTCGTTGCTTCTGACCACCACTAAGGTTTATGCCTCTATCACCAATAATGGTCTGATCACCATGTGAGAAAAGCTCCAAATCTTTCTTCAGTGAACAGGCATGAAGAACACTCTTGTATTTTGCCTTATCCATAGGAAACCCAAAGAGAATATTTTCCTCTATATTTCCCGATTGTATCCAAGCTGACTGAGAGACATAAGCAGCAGAACCGCAAATCCTAACCTAAAGAGAACACCGTTAGATCAAGCATAAGACGCAATGAACAAAATTCCTGGAGCAGATACTGTCTCATAGTAAATGACCAAAAAAGTGACAAAAAATAAATTTTAGTATAATAAACTCAGACTTACTTCGCCAGAGACTTTTGGAATCTCACCGAGAATGCAGGAAAGGAGACTGGATTTCCCAGAACCAACCACACCACAGACAGCCACTCGCATACCCTTCTCCAACCTAATTTGAATTCCTGACAGGGTTAGGGTTGGGGTTGGAGATGATGGATCCCAAGAGAACTCGCCTTCTTTGATTTCTATGGCCACATTTGTAATGCCTCGTGGCAAAACGATAGTAGCATCTTCCGGCAGCTCTTCCTCCAGCAGGAATCCAGAAATTCGATCAAGGGAGACTTTTGTCTGAGCCATCATCGAAACCAAGTCAGGGAAATTCCTAAGTGGTTCTTGCAGGATCCGAAAAGTAGCGAGAGCAGAAAGAACGCTTCCTGCTGTAAGCTGACCACCTAACAAAATGCAAGTGCCAAAAGTGATAGCTGAAACAAATATAGGGGAGCTCCAGAAAATAAACGTGATGAAAGCCTGTGAGTAAAGAGCTTTTCGGAGATACTTGAATTCCACACTTCGCATATCTTCAAGCAAAACTCTGTACCTTTCCTCCCATGCTTGCAACTTGAGAATCCTCATGTTCCTAAGGCATTCGGAAGTCTTCCTCATCCTTTCATCCTTGGCGGACATCAACTTGTCTTGGTAATCTTCCTGAACCCTTGCCAATGGGACAGTTGCAACAATGGATATAATAGTGGCAATCAGTGTGGCAACAGAGGCAATCCCGACATTCTTATATAGAATAGCAAGGGCAAGGACAATTTGAAGAGGAAGCATCCATAAGTCATGTAGATACCAAGAATAGTCCCCGACTCTTTGTACATCAACTGCCATGTAGTTAACGATCTCCCCACTCGAGTGACATTGCCTGGCTGAACTTGAAAGCCTGAGTCCTTTCCGATATACCATTGCCGTGAGAGCTGATCTAACATGCATTCCCAAAATGTCGACTCCAAGATACCATTGCCGGGTTGTTAAGGTCTCTATTAATTTCGCAGTGAAGAAAATTCCTGCAAGAATGTAACCTTCATGCGGGAAAGTCTCCTTCCCTCCCAAGTAATCCACAAAGTAGCTAATCATATAAGGACCCACATATGAAACTAAAGTGTTTACTCCTGCAAATACTGCATTACAAGCAGCCTCCTTCCAGAAAGATTTGAGAATTGCCCAAGCTAAAGAAGGCTGCTTACAAGGATTCTCCAACTTCAACTTCTCCCAATTCAAGTTCAATATCTTATAATTCGTCTTGCAACGATCTTTTGGTGCAAGTAATGGAATATCCTTAAGCTCAAGCGGTCTCTTTGCCCCTATGGAAAGAAGTGAATTCAACCAGGAAAGAGTGGTCAAACTAAAAAGGCCAGCTTCACTATAAGGGGTAACCTTAAGACACCCTGCTTCTTCTTCAAGAAGCAATGGCTCTTGAAGATCAGAGTTCCTGCACACTTGAATTCCGGTAACACCCCTAATTGCAACAAAACATAGAAAAGCAAGAGCCGGAGTAACAGCAAAATTGGCCGAAACATGAGAACTCAAATGGCTTGACCCTTCAGTCAGAAATCCCTTACCATCAGCATACAAAGTACACAGACAAATTAAAAAGGAAACAATCCACCAAATTCTCAACAGTAATGGGAATTTCTCAGCAGTCTTGTATTTGCAATACAGAGCTGAAAAGCTAAGCCCAATCCAAGCTAAACCCTGAGACGCAGGAAGTAACAATATCGTCCAATCTGAATTATTACCCTTTCCCCTTGCAGCACCCCTCACTAAACCAACAGCATCAAACACCAATACCAAAACTTGCACAAACAAAACATAAACACAACAAAATACTGAAGCTTTGTAGTCTTTACCAATCACGGCACTCTGAATTTCTTCACCTTCAACAGCTCCTCTGTGCCTAATGGCCACCCTATTCCCATTTGAGTCCTCTTTTCGAACTCCAATCCGGTCCAAACACGCGAAAATCAGCCTTGCAGTGACAATTAACAGGAACGCGAGAAACAGTGTCAAGTTTATGCAAACTGAGGCTAATTCCAATATGGGCACTCCCCGAAAGGCCCCCGGGAGACGGTTTGAGGCTTCAGATGTTGTCGTTTCAGTAGCCCAGAAAAGATTGATACCCATATTAATTGTTACAGATATCAATCTTTGAACAAAGAGAATGATGAAAATCAATGACTAGAGTCTGATTAACAATAACTATGGTCTTAATGGAGTCCAGTATTGATATGATCAGGGGGCAGAGATCGAATCGGGATAGGGGCATTACACCATCTGGCAATGGATACGCAAAATGAAGACAAGTCACAGAGAGAAGGAGAATCTGCAAGACACAGAGCACACGCAAACAAAGTCATTGAGGTAGAAAGATACAAGAAGCAATTACACACAAAAACATACGCAAACTCTCAATCTTTATCTCTATCTCTATCTCTATCCCTGCCCCTCTCTGTCTCTCTCTCTGAGTCTTGTTTGTACTTTTATCAATATTAAGGCGAGAAGGGGACAAAAAGAGTGGGCAAAAATTGAAATCTGAAAACGAACCGTTTACAGAGAATACAAAAACGTGACTTGGGCCTCTGATTCTTTCCTTGAAAAATCGTTTACCGAGCCGTGATGATTCCCGATGCAAATTCAGCAATACATGCACCGATAGTCCGATACAGATAAAAATCTAGAGAGAGAATACTCTCAGCAGATGGAAAGATGCTTATAGAGGGAGAAACAACCACTCCTCACAGCTACACTGTACTAGTAACATTTGCAGGTAATGTGATGAGAGAGAAAGATATACTCGAATCCACCCTAGCATTATATACATTTTTGTGTACGTATAGATCAAATTAATCATCTTTTTTTAGAAATATTCAAATAAATAATACATTATTTACTAACAAGATCATTGTAGTTAACAACATTAATTCTGTTTGTGATTAGCATATTTGGGCGAGCCGACATATAGTGCCGTGTTAAATCACAACTTTCAAAAGGAAATTCGTAAAGAAAACCTTTACAGTCAATATTACAGCTCACGAAATATGAATATATCCTTGTTTGTATCTTTTGCCCATATTTGACTAATGTTTTCAAAATTATTTTTTCTTCTATCTATTATCATATAATTCATTTTTATTTATTTATAATTTAAATCGTGTATAAATGCTTCATAACCACACTTAAGTGTCGATCAAATTGAAATGGATGGGATTATTTGATTTTTTTAAAAATAAATGTCAAAATTTATGAAGAAAAATCGATTGGCTTTCTATTATATATTGTGGATAAAGACTACAAATATATATGCGTGATTGCAATGACGTTGAGGTTGATATCATGTTTTGTGAGAACATGAGTGGTGATATGTGCAAGATTTTTGTGGTAGCGACAATTTTTTATTATCTCTGCACATTATAGAGATTGAGGAGACGGTATATATAAACGTTGTTAGTGATTATATCGAAGGGTCCAACGGATTTTATCAATGATATGAAAATTAGATTTTATTAGTTTTAATAAAATGTTGTGACCAATATTTAATCAAATATGGCGTGAAGCGTGATGGCAATAACACGCTATTTATGATCCCGATTACATACTAGTCACAAATCACATATCTTCGTATGCCGCACAATTGATGGGTCACGACTGCCACTACCGTTACCACTATCAAATCGAGACACAAGTCCATATCTAGCCACAACAGCATCTTCAAAGATTAAGCCCCATGTTTAAGCCACATTAAAATTTTCGTTTTCATTTTTCTACTCGTTTTCAATCACACATTGTTCGATAAAATAATATTTTCCATCACATCAAAAACTTTTCCTTCTTTTTCAATCACACATTCTCCATCAATCTTCTATTTCAATATACATTTTTCCAAAATAATGTGACTCAAACACACCCTAAAGTCAAACCAACTATCCGAATAGACTACGACATGGCATCGACAAAAGATTGGACACCCATGAGCTCCCTCTACTCCCCAAGACATTGACTTTCATAGCAATATTGGATGGAGAAGCAGAAACAAAACTAGAATTTTGCTCCAAGAAGGAAGTCCGGACAATGGAGATTGTATTGCGGTGCCAACAAAAACTATTTGAGGAAAGACGGGAGGGATTCCTACGGTGGAAAGTTAGGAGGCAAGGACATCAATTAAGGGATTGAGTGCTAAGGAATTGTGTAATTGCCTCTTTTGTGTTTTATGTGATGAAATGGTTATTGAAAATAACTAATAGATTTTAAACTTAATAGTAATTTTCAAAAAAAAATATTTCATATAGTAACATGTCTATATAAGATTTTATTTACTTAATTACTTTAAATTTTGATTCGAGCCTTTGATCCTTGATCCTCTTCTCTTCGTAGGTAAATGACAATTCATTTTTCAAAACATTGAATTTTATAGCCTAACGAAATTGAATTGGATTGGTCGATTTGATCCCATTTTGGGAAACCTTGAATTTTAATATTTTAGAAAAAAAATACCAAATTCGTGTCTCGTGACAAAAAGATTAAAAATTAATTTTCTGAAACTTGTTTTTAATCCCACATTTTATGAGATTTACAATTTTTATACTTTTTCACTACGCATTTCATTAATTTTTATCAAACTTTATTAAAATTTTGATTATTAACTAAATCGAATTGGGGCTAAATATATTACTTTTAGACAAATTCAGCCTTTGATTGATTTGTCAAGATTACGTGTTTAGTAGATTTTGATAAAAATTAATGAAATGTGTTATTAAAAAGTTGATAAATGTCGTGAATCTCATAAAATGTGTGATTGAAAAATGAATTTGAGAAAAAAATAGAATTTTAAAAAAATTAGGACCAAACGTAGGCTTAACATTTACACATCAAATCAATTAAAAATAATTACTTATATTCGAATTATTTAAAGCCATGGTGGGTAATGAATTAGCAACTCTATGTAATGCCCTCTTCTTTTTAGCTTATGAATTACGTGTATTGCATAACACCTAATTTTCCTCATGGGGATATGGTGTATATGGTTGTGTCTTCTACTTTGGGAAATTTGGTGTGAGCCAACTGTATTCCATGATGCATTTGAATAACTTCAAGATGAGGTAACGTAGTTCAAAGGTAGTGATAATAACATCGATATTTCGATGATCATTTGTACTTAGTTTCGAGATTCAAAGTGAGACGAGGGGCTCGGGCAATAAGGAAAGAAGCTCGGGTTTTACTTGCATATATTAGAAAAAAATTGTCTTGATTTTATGTTACTTTTACTTTGCACCTCTAAATCTATCGTAATCTGTCGTGTTCATAACGGTGTCCATTCCTTCACATAGAGGGGACCACTTTGGATATATTATATTTTATTCGAAGTGAGTTCCCTTCCATGTGAGGGAGGTAGACACCGTTATGGACACTCCATTATATACGTATAGTATTACCCTTTGATAAAATTGATGAAATGTAATTGAAAATGTGTCTATTTTATAAAATATATTATTAAAATTAATTGTGGACTTTGACTTATATTAAAATTTTAAATTTAATTTCTATTGTGACTACAAGTACATCAGTCACGGTCAAATTCGAAAGTACCATGGTAAGTGGTCCATATATTATCCTATATAGAGCTGTCACATTCAACTGGAATGTGGTATTGGTATTATGATTGTTTCTTACAAACAAATATTTATTTATTTATATTTGGGTAAAGAGGATGCACCTTGCAAGATAAACATGTATGAGATGTTCGTTAAAAGATAAGATGTGAGATATGGAAAATTATACTAAAATAAGTGATGTATTCGAAGTTAAATTTGGAAAAAAAAAAAAATTTGTCTTGCGTTATAGAACCAACAATACCTACAGTTGGCGCAATCTTTAAACAAATAAGGTGGTTGTCTAACGTTCTATCTTGTGTTTTTAATTAAAGACCCTAAATTTTAAAAAATATCGTTTCAAATAATTTTGCTGATGGAATATGTGATTTATATTTTTCCGATAGGTGATAATTAAAATAATCATTTTAATAAATAAAATTTATAGATGGAAATTTTGTTACTAGATAAAGCAAGAAAATAGTAAACATTACAGACAAAGAACTGAAAGAAGTCCATGGATTACAAAAATAACAAATATTTTAAGATTAAATATAGAGTTTATCGACGGTGGTAATTTTTTCTAAAAAAATATTAATAAATTATATTTACCATTTGAATTTTTATTATTAAATAAAATATAAAAATATAAAAAAATGATATCACTTTAAAGAGAATATGTCAGTAATAAAATAATAATTGACAGAGAACTTAAACATTTCCTTTAGTAATATTAAAACATAAATAGCTCAATAGATTTAAATACAGGAAAAATATTTAATGCTAGTAGAAAATACCATTGTAATAAAATAATAAGATTTACTGATAATATTACAAATATAAAATAGAAAGATATTTAAATAAATTTATAATAATTTATAAAGTTATAGAAATGGTAATTTTTTGTTGATGATCCGACGACTTTCCGTCGACTATCGATGATCCTAACACCGTTGAGGATTTCCTATAACATGACTTAACATTATTGTCATCGAAGAAGATTGTTCCAAAATTATCGATGATATCACTTTCAGTGAATATGGTGAAATCATCAACATATACTTTGTATCATTGATCATTTGCTCCATTTTATTAATTATCATACTCCAGAAAAAACGCTTTAACCAAGTTAGCATGGTATGAATGACATTTGAAGTTGACGAAACGTGAACTTTACCCCCATGTACCAAACCTATTCATTATTTTTAATCGAAATCATACATGAACTCGCAAATTTGTATCTCATCATATATGAATTAACTTCTATTAGTCAAAACTAACGAAGTAATCCACCCGGCACAACAGAGTGCCTACGTGACAGACACTTGACAAGTTAATTGTGCAAAATCATACATGAACTTTACCCAGTGTATGAAAATCATACATGAACTCAATTTCGCATCAAAATCATACATGAACTCAATTTTTTTCACGTAATATATGAATTAACTTCCATATGTCACAAATTATCCGAACAATCGACGTGGCAAATAAAATATCTACTTTCATTTGTATTTTATTATCCCCAACTTACAATAA